ATCGTATTGAAGACTGAAAACTTCCTTAAAAATTATTCATACTCGTGGCTGCGTAATTACAAATTAAGATAGTAATATAAGCGTTATAAAACTCAATCACCAGAATATTTACAATTTTAACATGGATGCCTTTATACTGTGTTTTCAATTCTTTAATGCATTTTCTCGGCATTTTCACCCGTCCGGAAAGCCGGTCGGTTGGCTGCGCGTTTATTTCCGTACATTGATCTTATTTATACTCCGCAGCAGGGGAGCGAATACTTTTTTCCCCTAAGTTTTAAAACGAGACCTGAGGCTGCGGGGGCACGACGGGCAAGGACGGCAGTGCCGAGGAGCTTGCTGGGGTTGACGGGGAAAGGCCGGTGAGGATGGCCAGGGGATGACGCGCTCCTGGCCAGAGGACCGAACTGTCCGTCAGCGGGCACGGCGAGCCGGCCCCGACCCGTTCGTCTCCTCGGTGCGCGGCCGTCACGGCGCAGTGCGCCGCGGTGCTGAAGAGGGAACAAAATGTGCCACGCCGCACCGATTAGCCATCCTCTAACTCCATTCGCGGCGGCTGTTTGAGGGCCGCCGTTCCACCACCGTGGCCACGCTCCTGGCTTGGTTTCGGGGCGACTGGCGACAGTCGCAACGAGGTTTCCTCCGGTCCGGGCTAAATCTGGGTCACCGCAGGCGGCAAAGGGCTCTGTGTGCGATGAGGGCGCGAGGGATTGCCCTCACCTTCCCGGCTCGGTTCCCTTTTCTCGGCTTCTGAGCTAGGAGCACGGAGCGGGATGCTGCATGCTTTCTGGTCCTGGAGGCTGAGTCCGGATCGGCCTCGCCGTCCCCTTGTTGTGGGAACCGTCAGTCGAGTTGTCCGGTTTGAGCCCAGGGAGTCTCAAGTGGTGGGAAACCGGCCTCGCTCCCTCTCGTCCCAGCACGGCCTCGAAGCTAAAGCCCGTCGGGAGGGCGCACGAGGCAGTGTGTCCGAGACGAGTACTAGGGGTTACCAAGGCTCCGTGGGCCTGGGCCAGGCGTGGGATGAGTTGGGACCGCCCGCGCCCCTCGCTATGTGCTGCGCTCGTTATGTGCCCGCGGAAGGTGGCACACACAAGCGGGAGCAGGGCCGTTCTCATCGGAAACCGATGGAGAGCCCCGCCGCCGCTCTGACCACCGTTCGTGCCGACTCCCTGGTGCCACCTTCTCCGCCGGGCTGCAGCCCGCCTGGCAGGGGGGAAAGCAGCCTAGCCGGAGGGTACCCGGCGGAACGGAACGGGCGGGCTGTAATACCCCGCCGCGGCCAGAGGGGCTCAGGGGGCTTTCCTGCTTCTTTTAAATTTAAGCCGCGCTTAACCTTCTCTCGACCCTCTTTTGAAGGTCATCTGTATCTCTGGGACAGTCGCTCTAGGCTTGTCGTTCACCCCGTTATAGGAAAGCTGAAGTGGTTATTTGCATGCGACACCAGCAAGCAAGAGCAAGGGAAAGGGACGGGGGCGAAGGTGCATTTGGTATGCACAGAAACGGAGTTTACAGACGACTTTCTCATTGGCGTCTGTAATTTTTCTCCAGTTGATAATGCTTGTCTGACTAGCCGCCGTCAGCTACCTGCTGTCAGTTTTACACGTCACGTCTCCTTAGGGTGAAGCGATTAAGCTCACTTGAGGGGGGGAGGGAAGAAGCGGCTAATGACATAAATATGTTTTCCTTAGTGACCGCTCCTATGGGTCCCTGCTGGGAAGTTACAGAAAATCGTGTCTTTGAAGGAAAAAGGATGCTGTGGATATTTTACTCTCTGGTGGCACCCGGTTTCAATGTTCGAAAGATTCGCAGAAATCACACTGTGAATGACAAAACATGGCCATAATCATCCCTTTAATGTCACTCGAAATTTTCTAAAGAAGGGCAGGAAAAAACCTTTCTGGTGAAAACCAGTGTTTTTTTCCCCTGGAAGTCTAAATATGTGATTGTCCTATGTCAAATAAGCAGCGTCAATCGCCTTAAAATCCGGAGCGCATTTTAAGGTCCAGAAATAAAAGTAACCCCAGAAAGGTGCTTTGGATACATATATTACTCCATTAGCAGATAACTATATATAGGGATTCTTCTCTCTTTCATCATCCCATGAAAAAATTAATCGGACACACATATGGATCAAAGGTTGTTCGATAAATTTAAATCCAAACAGTTATTTTAAAAAGTCAAGAAATGAAAATACCATGCTACGTAGCAACCTACAGAAAACTAGCGAGGAGGAAAAAAAATCAACAACAAGCTCCCGCCCTCTAGAAATAAAAACAATACGTGCGATCTGTCTCTCCGCCGTAGGGCGGGCAGGCTGCGCGCACCCCGCGGTGCGGCGCAGTGTGGTGCGGAGCGGTGCGGAGCAAAGGGTCAGGGTCTCCTCGGCGGGAACGCGCGGCGGCTGGTTCTAGGGGGAGGGAAAAGAATAAAAACTGGGCAAGATCAGCAACTCCGTGCCCAGAGGCTTCTCCGGGACCCCCGCGGCAGCCCCGCCGCTTCGTTCCCGTCCCCGCCGGCGCTGTGCCGAGCCGCAGAGAGCCCGGCAGAGGAGAGGGGCAACTCGCCCCTGCACCAGCAGGTCCCTGCGGCGGCTCGGGGCTGGCCCCGCTCTCCGGGCCCGCGCCGCATTTCTCCAGACGCGCAGCCTCGATCCAAAACCCCCGCGCCCCCGCCACCCGCAAGCCGGGCCCCGCCGCCGCGGAGCGCGCCCTCCTCCTCCCGCGCTCCTCCGCGCCCCCCCGGGCCGCGGCGGCGGGGTCGGTACCTGCTCCCGCGGGCCCCGCCGGTGCCGTCGCACCGCAGGCAGTGTGGCGTGTGGCCCGGCGACCGCGGTCGCCGGGAGTGCAGAGCGGGGCGGTGGAAAGTGCCGTCGGAGATGGCGAGGAGGCTGCCGGAGCGCTCTCGGACATATAACATCTATTTCCTTCCTTCCTCTCCCCTATCGATCTCATCCCCACCGCGACGGCGTTTAAACTCTTGCAAGATCCTCTAGCTTAGCACGTTTCGATCACTCTTGCACATCTGATTTCCTTCAGATTCAATCACGGTTGGAATAGGCAGAGCAGACAGACTTTAGACCACGGAACACTTAATATGTCCCAGATTTAATGTAAAGAGAAACTAACTCCGCAGCACTATTCGTCGGTGACAGGCATTAAGCATTTTTTTCTCCCCTATCAATTCAGAGCGACAGCCACTCCAGGGGAATTTTTTTCGTGGTGACGAATCTTTCTCAGACAAGCTGCCATATCTTCCAATGTGGAGAGCGTTAGTGCTTCTACTGCGGTTTCGTTTTTTTTTGTTTTATTTTTTTTTAATTAATTATCTTTCTGTCACATACCTATTTTTTTCAGGTCTGGAAAGCACTTTTACAATTTTAACGCTGATAATCTTATTTGAAGGGATAATTTTTCTCTAGGGTGTATTTATTAGTGAGCCCATACCTCACACTCTCTGACGAAACAGCTATTGAAATTAGGAATAAATTTGCATTTTACGGGTAGGTAAAATGCGATAGTGGAAACGGTTATGTCTCCTAAATGGCAGCTATTTCCGTTTTAGATTACGATCAGAAATCTCAGCTGTGCCACTCGACGGCCCGAACAGGACCTCCAAGGCTGTGACACAGACGGACCACACCACGAATTTCCTTCTCTCTGTTGCCCAAAACAGTGAAGTGAGTTTGAGATCCTAGTCCCCTAAACAGTGAAATTTGCCCCATGTTTTTTTTACTGTTGGAGAATTTCTCTTCTGTTTCTTTCAACAGAGCACGTCACTCCATTTATTTCTGAGGGAAAAAAAATTAAAAAATGCCTCAACAAGAGAAGAAAAAAAAAGAAAACACAACAAAAATCTCAAAAACTTTTTCATTTCCCTAAACATGCAAAGAAAAGAATATCTGTTCCCGAACCTTTAATAGTTTTACTCACTGGAAAGATACGAAAGAGTTTTCCCCGTAACTATTCTATCCACCTGAATATGATTATTATTAAAGTTGCTGTGGCTGGATGCATTTATGTTCATACAAGGTTCAGCTTAATTCTCGTTTTATTGCAGCCTCCGCGATAATGGGTTGGGTTTAGAGTGGGTTGTGGATGCTACGCTGGAACCTCTCTGCAGCCAGAGTTTGAATAACAACGCGATGAATCTCCGAGCGCAACAGCCGAGTAACACCAATAATTCCTAATCTTCAACGCAAGAGAGGGCACAATGTCATTTTTGAACGTCCGAACGGTTTTCCCGACCGAGACGCTGCGCTCCAAGAGAGCCCCCCTTCCATCTGAGTTTGGGGGGAGATGCGAATGGGGGGTGTGTGTCTCATTAACGTTCATTGCCGGGCGCATCTGCCGCGGGCTGGGGGCACGGGGCTGTTTCGGCCAGGGCGGAGGCGGGCGCGGGACGGTGAGGCACCCCCCCTTCCCCGCCCGGCCGCCGCGGCGGGGCCCCCTGGAAGGGCGGCGGGGCCGGGGCGGTGGGGCCGGCGCGGCGCTGATTGGGCTGCGGGCGGCCCGGCCGCACCGCCCCCGCCCCGCGGCTCCGCCCGGCCCCCGCCGCCGCAGTGACACTAATGAGCGAGTTCTTCCCACAGGTCTCCTGCCTGGAAGTGCTGACAGATCAAGGCAACAAATTTCAATTACAAGCCCTAATTTGTGTCCGCAGAGCGTTTGTTACCCATGTCAGTCCTGCCTGGCCCATCAGACAGGGCAGAACGTGGAGGAGGAGAAGGAGGAGGAGGAGGAAGAGGAGGGGGAGAGAAGGAACGCATCTGCAGAAAGGAATAGATTTTTTTTCCACTTTAAAAAAACCCCAAAACAACCCCCCCCCCAAAAAAAAAAAACTTGGCTGATAACTCGGATTTAAAAAGAAAGGCGAGGAAAAGTCCCAGCCCCTTGCCTGCGCGGTCGGGAGGGAGGGAGGGCGGCCGGCGCGGCGGGCCGGGCGCGGGTGCCGGTGTCGGAGGCCGCGGGGCGCCTGGATGCGCGGGCTGTAGGGTGTCGGGCATGGCCGACAAGCGGCGGTCCTCGCCAGGCACCACCATGAGCCTCAAGGCTCACGCCTTCTCCGTGGAGGCTCTCATCGGGGCCGAGAAGCAGCAGCAGCCGCAGCCGCGGCAGCCCAAGCGGCGGAAGCTGGGCGGCGAAGACGAGGCGGCGGAGGACGAAGGGGGCAGCGGCTGCTGCGCCAAGAGCTCCCCCGCCGCTGCCGCTGGCAGGACCTGCGGCGACATGGACCTGGGCTGCGGTGCCCGCGCCCCCGCCGGTGAGTGCCGCCCCGCGCCCTGCCGCTGCCCGCGCCCCCGCTCCTCGGCTGGCTCGGGCTCCCCTTCCCCAGACGCTGCTGGTGCTTTGGTTCCCCGTTATTCCTTCGGTCTTTCCATGCTGCATGGGCACCCGCCACCCCTCCCGCCGGCGCTGGCGGTGGGAGCCCGCGGCGCTCCTCGGCCCCTGTACGGAGCAGGGCGGCTGCCGGCGGGGCTGTCGGTGCCGCAGCGCGGGGGAGCGACGGCGGCGGGGCCTGTTTCCCAGGGAAGGGAAAAGCGCTTATGAAGTACATAAATGTATGTGTGCTGCTAAGAGTGCATATGCAACTACGTATATAACTATGTATGCATATACATATATATACACACACACGACGCACATATATGTGCGTGCAAATTACTGTGTGTGGAGGGGAGCGCCGTTTCACGCTCCGGGGGCAGAAGTCCGCGGCCAAACGAAATGCGTCGCCGGCTCCGCACCGCGGACTCGCTGCCGCACGCCTCGGCCCGGGCCGGGGGTAGCTCGTCCCTGAGCTGCGCGTCGGGAACCCCCCGGCAGCCCGGCCGTCCTGGGGCGGCCCCGGCACTCGAGTCAACCCCCCCCCGGAGCCAAGGCTACGGCCCGGGCCCGCTCCGGCGCACTCGGTCGCTGCCGCGGGGCGGGCGCGGCCTCGGGTCGGCCGGGGCTGAGGGAGTCTCCTGGTCGCGGGGTCCGCGATCCCCCGGCCCTCTCGCTTCCTCCGCTCTCTCCGCAGACGGCTGCGAGGAGGGTTTCCTGGCGGCCTCCCCGCCCGCCTCCCCCGGCGGCTCCCCCAAAGGCTCGAGGCCCGGGTCGCCGCTGCCCACGCCGCAGGCGCCGCGGGTGGACCTGCAGGGCGCCGAGCTCTGGAAGCGCTTCCACGAGATCGGCACCGAGATGATCATCACCAAGGCGGGAAGGTAACGGGCACCGCGGGGCCGCCACCGGCGCTCTCCCGGGGCGGGCGGGCACATCAAAGCGGGCGAAAACCGGGGGAACCCCCAGATTTACGAGGCAGGTAGATGGCGATAATATTGGATGGGCACGGGAGCATGCGGCGTTTCGGGTTTCCTGTTCATTAGGGCGAGGTCTGGGAGTGCCGTGCCCTTCTGGGGGGAAGCTTTTTCCGTTTCCAGGGGATACACATGGTAAAAACCTGGGTAGTATAAAAGTATCTGAACTTATTAGAAATTAGAAAAACATATTTTATTGAATCCATATGCTACCGTCTACATTTTCAGAGGGGCTTTATTAATGATTGGAACGCATTCTTAAACAGTACAAAGCAGCATTTGTCTTAAGAGAGTCCAGTCGGAGAATTTCTGTTTTATCTTACAGGTGCACTGAAATAACAGCAAAAAACAGTTAACCACAGTCAGGTTTTTACCCTCCTACTTATTAAGAAATGACAGAGATAAGATTTTTGTTTCCAGTAACGACTTTTAATTGATTTTTATAGATATGTGTATACATATATATTTTTTTAGGACAGCAGCAAATATTAAATAAACTGGAATAGCTTTCATGTTTATAAAATACAGAAGAGTATTTTATTAGTTTGCAGTCAGGTAGTCAGCTCGTCAGTAGGACATTGTTTTTTTTAAATTTGACTTCAAGAATGAAGTTTTCTGATAAAAGGCATGCCAAGCTAAGAAGGGCATTTTTATGTTAAAATCACCTCATTCGTTTATTAATCCATTTTCTCCACAGAAGGGTCTAAATCTTCAACGTTTGGGTTGTGATCTTTTTTGTTTTGTTTAGTGTTGCTTTGGGAGGTTTCTGGTGTGTGGGGGGGTTAGTTGTTGGGTTTTTTTCCCTCCCAGAAATTAGCTCGTAGTTTCGTTTCTGCTTTCAATAAAGAAGTTTTACTATACCTTTCAAAGACAGAGTAGCTCTCGCACTTCACCTTTAGTAAGTTGCAGACAGGAAGTCCCGTCTCAATAAAGACCATATTGTTGGGTTACAGCATGGCACATTGGCTTTTATAACTGCATCCTTGGCGGTGTCATAATTGTATCACCGTGGATTTAGCTTTCTAATTTGCTGATACAGGAAAGATGCACCATTTTCTACTATGAGTTGAATCTTCAGTGGCAATTTGCCTTTCTGTACGACTTGGTCTTCCTGGGTGGAGGTGGTGTTTGCGTATATCCAGGAATACATTTCTAGCTAATATCTCAAACGGGCTTTAAATGCGTGTACTGCTAAGGTAAAGTCTCAAAACAAAATGATTTACTGTCTAACAATAAAGTTGAAATGATGTGGTAATAGCTCTACTCCCAAAGCGTATCCCCAAACATATGAAGCATTGTTCGAGTAAATGCACTTTAGAAATCTGTTTTGACATATCGAATGGGCCATTTCATGGCTATGTAACTATAATCGTCCAAAAGGACTCTGTAGGCTAAAGGGAAGAACGAGAAGAATCCCACGAAGCGGTTACTTTTCCTAAACAACCATTCCCGAGTCTGTTTCGTATTAAAAGTGACCTCTCTCTTTCCATGTTCAGGCGGATGTTTCCCGCAATGAGAGTGAAGATCTCAGGTTTAGACCCACATCAGCAGTATTATATTGCTATGGATATTGTGCCGGTGGATAACAAAAGATACAGGTATGGTGACTTTCAGGCAAAAAATATCTGATGCAAGCCATAGGGAGCAAATAGGGAAGAAAATGTTAACACGATATAAATTAGCAAAAGATCATGTTTAACTCTCTGTAAAGATTTCTATTTTCATCCTAGTGCATTTAAAAGAAAAAACACAAAAACATTGCGCCAAGTGTGCAAAAGCAACTAAGATTTCTGTTGAAGCTCTTTACAATACATTTGCCTCACATTGTGTATGTACTGTTGGCAGATGCTTGGGTTTTGACTCTCAGAGTGCAGTTCTAGTGCGGTCAGGAAATGTTACCATATTATATTCCTCATCCTGTTAGTGGGAATTATTTTCTATTAACAAATAAATATGAAAATGCACATTTTCTAGTGCTCATTGGCATTAACATTAATAATATTAATAGTATGGATGGCTGATTTAACTACGTATAAGCTTTCTTGGTCATGCTTCAAATTGATAATTTGATTTAAAAGTTATTTATCACTGCGATATTTGGTTCCTTAGATTAAAAAAGGCTAATGTTTCTGATTACTGTTTTTTAAAGAATTAATTGTATTATTGTCTGAAAAATAATGTGAGGAACAAAAGAGGCTGTTCTTCAAACATTTAGGAGTAGGAAGAGCTGAAGCTCTCACTGTTCCGACGGTAGTCTTTTGAGGGAGCTAGTTAGACACTGCAGAAACCTCTGGTCCTGTAGAAATGTTTGCAGGATTGGGCCCGCAGCAATTACTGTTGTGAGTTGAAGTTGTTTCGTAGGTGTTGCTTCACAAATGCAATCCCATAGTAGCCAGAGGGAGCCTGGCCGAAGCAGTTCAGTGGAGACAGGATCAGGTCTTTACTAATTGCTGGTTTGATTGTTTTAACCTATACTTAGTATAATGTAGGGAAAACCACTGCAGATTTAATTGTAGAACTAGGAATATTTCAGACCAAGACTAAAAGGTTGGTTCTGCAGGAATGCTGCTTTGTTTCCTAAGCAAACACTGCCCTGTGTTTTTCCTGTACTTACCTCATTGACTTCTATTTTGTTATTTTCTCGTATGGTGTATAAGATCTTTCTTAGGACCGTTTTAGATTTTGTGTTTTTCAGAGAGGGACAGATAGCAGTGCTAAGGATGCCCAGCATATACATTTAGGGGAAACTTTACTGACTGTACCATAGGGGAAGAATGCCTTTTTTCTTTGGACCAATGCAGTACAGTTCAAATGAAAATCCTTTTCTTGCCTTGTGTTGCATGTGTGCATTTACTTAACAATCTAAATATATAATTCCTAGAAGGTCTGAGCAATTCCTAAATTCATAGAAAAAAAAAGTAATAATTTCAAATTAATTAAAATGTTAATACAAAAAATCAAAAGCAGTTATATTGAATATGAGTTATTTAAACCTAATTTCATTTAAAATAATTACAGTCATAATGACCTGCACTGTCTGCCCAATATGATACGTGGTGCTCAAGGTAGCTGAAGTAACTTAACAAGAGTTGTATGAAAGGCAGTATTTTCTTCGTTGACAGATATAAATTTCTGTAGTTATGTATAAGTTACCACACTTTTAGCTATTTTGCTATATTAATGTTTTACAATTTTATTTGATGTAAAGTTCATTCTTTGCTGTGCTTTTTATTGCTGACTGTTAGTTTAACTCTGGCTGTTTGTGCGGCTTCACAAACTGTCTTGCAGATTTTTAAATTTCATAGACATGGCAGCAGTCACATGCAGCCTAGTCTTTAGCTGACAGAGCAGGTATCGAAACTAAATGTAAATGAAGAAAATTATATCTAGGTACAGATTTCTAGGAAAACTGGACCTGATGAATATTTGGAAGCTAAAGTTGTTGCTCAAAATGTTTTTTGTGTATTTATAACTTTATTTACTTTTGTGGGGAAAGCATATAAACTAAGAAATACAAAATAAATGAAAGATGTTATAACACTGATCTGGGGCTGAGAATTTGTCCCCAGGAGAGAATTTCACCACCATTCCAGATCTTAGTTATGTAGTTTGATCTGAATTGAATGGACCGATACGTGCATTGGATCACTTAGTTTTTTGTTCCGATTATGTTGTTTTTCTAATAAAGAGCTGAATTGTACAAATCTATTTGATGAAGTCTTTCTTGTTTGTATTCAAAATATAGTTGAATTACTGGAATTTTACTGTACTTGAATAAAATAACTTTCAGTTAGTGCTTTTTAAATTGCTCTGCAAAATGTCTGCCTTCAAAATAAATCTTCTACCAAAGTAGGCGCTATTTTTACTATAAAATTACTTTGTCAGCGTTGGCCTATCAAATGAAACACAGACTCTGTGTTTTCATTTTTAAGCCTTTATGCAATACTATTCAAGCCAATTAATATGGTCTGTGGAAATATCAGGAGCATAGTTTGACATACTTTCATTATTTTTTCCAATCACAGCGTTCTTTCCCTTCAATGGCTTTATTTATAGACTCTTATATTAGACTCAACATGTTAAATCTTCCAAATATGGAATTACTACTCGATTTGATAAAGGAAGGACCAGATTCTTCCCTCTTTGCTGATGCCTATTCAGAGCAGAGCTGTAGCAATCAATGAACTGACACCAGCTTAAAGCTCAGTGTGGAGTATTAAGACTGATTGATTTTAGGAAGACTTAGGTCAAATCAGAGCACGGTTTTTAACCTTATTTTTGCAGGTGCCAGAACTATGTTTTGAAAATAAAAAAATTACTTTTATTTATGTAGAATTATGTCCTTTCATGTTTTGATAATTGATGAGTTCTTGCTGTATGCAAGGGCCCTAATGTATTAATACTGAATGGGTCTGATGAATTATTCTGTGGTTATAGATATTTGTTTTCCTTTTGTAGGTATGTTTATCATAGCTCCAAGTGGATGGTCGCTGGTAATGCTGACTCCCCAGTACCGCCTCGCGTTTATATTCATCCTGATTCACCCGCTTCTGGGGAGACATGGATGAGACAAGTGATCAGCTTTGACAAACTGAAGCTTACCAATAACGAGCTGGATGATCAAGGGCATGTGAGTACTTGCTCTTCTGCAGTATTATATGTAGGCGCATTGCTCAGCCCTGAAAGGCTCTGATGTACAGCTTCAGGTGCCAGAAATAGGCTTGACTTTTCAAAGTTGTTTTGGAATTTTACTGTCCAGATCTAAAATCTGCTTACTTTCTGCTCTGATAATTAACTGCTTATTAGAGCCTGCTGTTTTACTTCCCCCCCTCAAAAACAGAACTCCTTCTGCACAGTAAGAGTTTACAAGGTTAAATTGCCTAATACAAAGGGGCAGATTTGCTCTCATGTTTTCCCACCGAGCATGTTACTCACAACTTCTGCTCTGATCGAAAAGGACACTTAAATTCACAAGTGGCTAGAAGAAACATTAACAGTGTGTAATAACTTCACATGAATAAAAATACACTTAAGTATTTTCTTAACCTAAACATTTGTGTGAAATCCCATGAGGTGTTAATAATTGCAGTCAAAAACGAACAACATGGGAGCTGGGTTTGCTCTGATGATGATTTATTACATACCTTATGAAGCAAGACCCTTTCACAGCTGAGGCTCATTACTTCTGAAAAAACTGGCGAAGACGTATGCAGTATGAGTGTTCTGTTTGCAAGTTCTAAATTGTTTAGTTATGACATTATCTAATGTGACAAAATGTGTTATGTTAATATTTCCTTTTCTCTTCAAAACTGTTGAAACATGACAGATGTAAGCCAGTATCATTCCAGCAATCCCTAAAATAGTTTTACTTGACACCTTAAGAAATAATTAAAAAAGGAGAATTGTTTTTAGTCAGGATGAAGTCTTTGATTTTACAAACTCCCATAATAAATTGCAAATGTTGGTATCCTTTCAGAAGGAGCATCAAGTTCGAAATGGTAGAGTTTTAAGATGTTGGAGGCAAATTTTGAGACAGGATGTGGATTCCATTGTCCTTAGCGTAACCCGATTTATTAACCGGGATAGTTTCTGCTTCAAGGAAGGGAGTGAAAGAAAACATACCTGGAACAGAGTACAAAGATACTACATGCATCTTTTTGTAACGTGCTGTAACTCTGTGACATTGAGCCAGGTATTTTGTTAATGCATAGTCTAAGTTTGAGATTTTTTCGCCCCATTTGTGTTTGCAAATGAGATTAACAGAGGCAGGAATATAAGAGAGTGGCTGAGCTGAGGTAGCAAATATGATAACAAAGATAAAAAGCCTTACATCTGTATAATAATATTCATGATTTTATTTCATTCTTCCTTTAAAGAAATGTGGGGGTGTTCATGTCTCTTATGTTAGCAGTGCTTTTCTTTAGGCTCGTAAGAAAGATGTTTTATATTGCTTCTTTCCAGAATTACAGTTAGGGAGTGTTATTTGGCAGTGTCAATTTGAGTCAGGATTAGCACACTAAGTTCCCTTAGTTTCCCCAGCATTTGTGTATTTGTGACTCCTCTTGAGTGGGAGTTGCTTTCTCTGAGTCGTGAGTCTATTGTAAGGGCTCTAAAAGTGAAGTGGATGCAAATGGGTAAAGTGTTGCTTTTCCACCAGTGAGCAGGCCAGCTGGTTTGTGTACTGCCTCATTTCAGAAGGGCGATACATGGGTACTGTGGTCTACCCGTGCACTTGCAGTTGCAAACTGCCCTGTGATGAAATCTTAGCTATGCAGAGAATTGTATTACTGTATTTTTCCGTTCTAGATTTTAGCTTTGTTTTTGTTCTGAACTGAAACCTGTGTAGTGTATACAGCACACCATTATTCATAATATGAGGGGATATAAATTTTCTGGTCTTTAGTTAAGTATTTTGACTTGGAAATGAGTGAAGCAAAACCCGAGTGCAGCGATTTGAGACACATTGAACTGATTCAGAGCTATGGCAGTGTCCCTCCTCCCCAAAGTGGAAATTTAAGTATTAAAATAAAAGGACAAAAGAAGGATGGCTGTAAAATAATTTCATATTTCTCAAATCTGGGAAATTGCAAACATGTCATTCATAATTACCAGAAAAGGCAAAAGCAGAAAGCAGAAAAGTGTCTCTTCCAATGGGTACATTTTTTCTTTTAAAGCTATGGCAGTGTGGAATGCTGTATTGAAAAAGCTGTGTAGCCTCTGAATGCCTCTGGCAATAATGGAAAACGAATAATCATATTTTGTGATGAATATGAAAAACAATTGTTTCTCATAAGCAGGAAGGAACCATTTCTTTCAAGAGGCTACCAGGGGAGGGATGAGGAATTAGAAGAACCAGGGGTCAAGGCTCTACTGCCCCTCCAATATTTGTTCTTACATCAAATATTCTGGCTCTTCCACTCCTGTATGGGGCATGGAGTATATTTTAGATTATTAGAAAGTGAGTTTTTTCCTCTCCTGTTTAGGCAGAGTGGCTCAGAGAAACCTTGGTGGCATCTCTACCAAGCAGTGTTGGGCTTTAGTTCTTTGGGTACGCTTTCCCTGCTCTCTGTTTCTGACAATTTAATCCTTGCTGAAATTGTTCCTTTTTTCTTCCTGTGCTTCTCAAAGGCATAAGCCTTTGCAGAATTTTTGTGTTAAAATCCATGGGGTAGGTTTTGATCTTCAGGCATTGAGGTAGGGAGCTTGCATGACATCAATCCAGAGCCCTTTTACCTATGTTAGAGTATTAACCGTCAGAACCTGTGAGAGAAGTGACCCATATTCATGGGAATGGGGACAGTATTTGCAAACAGGCACTCAGTAGTATTCTTAAGCTATATTTATGTTGTGGTAGTTGTTCCAGGCAGCCAGCTGCCCTCGCATTGTATAGCTTGGAGATTAGCATCTTGTGAAAGGAGATCAGCCATCTCTAAGATGACTTGCTTTGCTGCTCAAGTGCTTTCCAGGCTCCTTGTTGCCTGCTGCTGTTTTCAACAGTATTTTGAGTGGGAGTTTGTGCAGATGCAATTTTATAGCTCTGTTTTGAGGAGAGATTTTGAAGTACATCTGCATATAGGACACTCAGATATATGGGTTTCACTTGCAGGCTGAGAAGATCAAGCAAAATTTGTAAGGATGTGTTTTCCTTGTGTGTTTTTGATCTCAAAAGAAAGTTCCAGGGTGAATTCCCTACTTTGGAAATACTATGTTCTTATAGAGGCATTAAGACACACACTGCGGCTTTTGTGTCTTTCATCTAAATAGTGATGGCAAGGAAAAGTAAAGCTGGATTTTGCAGTGGTCACTGAGGAGTGGAGTAGTGCATGGTTTGGATGCTCTTTTTTAATGCCTTTCATCCCTCTCTCATCTGTGGACTAAGTGCTGCATTGTAAAAGCAGTCTCTCCCTCCGGCTGGTTAGAGCTGGCTGATTTTTCTATTTCAATGCAGTTTTTAATCTGAATTTCAGTAGAGGGGAAAAGTCAATATTTTTTATGCTATTTTCCATGCTTTTCAGCTGAGTATTTTTTGATGCAGAGGAACATCTTTTCGCTTCCAGTGAAAATGAGGCTGTTAGCGTGTTAATTGTTCCTTGGTGGTTGGGGTGGTTTTTTTTTCCCCATTTGAAAGTGGGGTGAGGCTGGAAGCAGAGGCGGACTGTTACTCTGCCCAGACTTGGCTCCAAGTAGTGAGCTCTGCTTACAGTCAATGGGTAGTTATATATTCTTGTCACAATGAAAAGCTGTGAAACATCAGCATTTGCACTTGCAGATTTTGTCCTAGTCAAGAGGAAATCCATGCTCCTCAGCTCCACACTTCCCTGGAGAGGGGATGAAAGAGGATTTTTGGTAAAACCAGCAGCAAGGACCATGCTGGTGGTGGGGAGGTAACTGTGTAGTCTTGGCACTGCCAAGCTGACTGAGGATTGACATCTCCCCTGTGAAGGAGCATTCGGCTCTCACTTGTTCTGGCTGTGATGGTTGTGCTCATGGTCAGCTCTGAGGCCTCATCGTGGCAGCAGCTCTCAAAAGCCGTATTGCAAAGGTAATCCCAGCTTTGTGTGTCTGCAGGTGCTTTTGGTCACCTTTGCTCTGCCACCTACCTGTGGTCTTCCTGCTGCGGCATTTTCTGTCTGATAATGATTTCTCGGCAGCTGCTGTGACCAAAGTATAATTTTACTTTTGGTGGGAGAAGTTTATTTCCCCATGAAGTTTTTTGGTCTTGCCTTGTGAGGGGTTTATAGAGAGAGGCAGGCTTTTCAACTGTGAGTTGAAAGTAATGCCAGTTCATGTTTGGGAACACAGTGAGACTTCTGATTGGTGTTTTTGTTATTGGATTTTAAGGGTGTGAAGGGAAAGTTACTGTTTCTGAAGCTAAACTGTTAGATCCCGTTTGTGCTTTTAAATGTGCAAGCACTGTGAAATGAAAAGTTGGAATCTCCTTTTCCTTAGCTTTTTCTTTGCAGTAGCTTTAGGTGATGCTTAGAGTAATAGAGCTAAACTGTTTTCAGTGTGGATGTTGCATCTCTCTCTCCTTTTATGTCTTATCTTCGTAGTGTTCCTCTTTAATTCACCAGGGCTTTGCAGTTACGTATTATTTATTTAGAATTCAGAGTCCTTCTGATCATTGACAAAGATTCCATCATTATAAGGCATAGTACAAAATCAATTAAAAAAATTTATTGCTTTGGATTTGCTAGCTGCCAGCAGTGTGTCAGTGCGGGAAATTTCAGTATAGGACAGAGGCCAGACAGGTTGCTCTTAAGAGATGCTATGGATCTCTTACAGTTTAGCTGTAATAGCCACCCAGATAAGCAGTGGGAGGTGTTCCTCTCCATGCTTCTTTGATTTCCCTTGTTCTGCTACGTGAGCAGAGCTGTTTGTAGCTGCCAGGGTTATCACTGCTGTGTGGGCAAGTGGTGGTTTGCACCATAGAGCTGATGCGGTCAATCAGTTTGTGTGGCAGCAGAACATGGCATGCTCAGTGGCACCTAGGCAAATGGCAAGGCAAATAGCAGTGAGTTTGAACAGTGAAACGCCTTTCGTTGATAATTTCTTTTTCTGTTGCACCAGTATCTCCCATGGTATCATTGGATATTCACAGGAAAACAGGGTCAGGAATGTCCTGTCCTCTCTGCATTTTCATTTTGTAGATATTTGCCAGTGGAGAGTTGAAATGAGTGTTATAAAAGAGAATACACGTTTGCATGATAAAAAAATCTTGCTCTGTTCAAGATTTCAGAAACTGGAAAAAGGCTTCATATGAGAACATCCATAGGGCACTCCCTGAGCAAATTAATTGGAGCCTGTGATGTCATTTTCAAAACCTTACTCACAGGCTAATAAAACCCCTGATTATGCAAAAACTTGGCTTATCCAAAACAGGGTCATGTCATCTGGCCAGGACCAAGTGTATTAAACTGGCCAAACTCTAGTTTATCCAAATAAATGTAATGTCCTCTATATCATTTGGATGAATGAACTTCCATGGTGTCTAGCATAGGGGCTCTGTTGAGTACTTGTGCACACGCACATTCTGAGGCTACTCAAGGAGCAGGAAATTAAAAAGCTTCCCCAGAATGTTGATTAGTGGTTCCACAGGCCAATAGCCATAGGACTATTTATTTATTGAGTTACTAATTTCGTAAGGCTTCCAACAATAATAGTTGAACTTCCAATTTATTTTTTTTCTTGAAATCTTCTATTTTAATAGTGGGTAGCTGAAGCGGAGTAAAATATAGGAAAAATTCTGTATTTTAAATCTCCTCTAAAATTTAGGTGCAGTACCAAAAGGTTTTTTTGTGTTTAATTTTATGCATTATGAGTTCATATACTTCTATAATTTATTTTTGATTGAGTTTTTGTGTGCTGGGAGAGGTTTGTTAATGGATATTCATTGTCTGTATTATCAATCTAGTTGTTATTAACACTTTAGGGGTTAGGATTTTGGTATCGTTTTACTCTCAAGTTTATGCTTCTTCAGAGTGTGAGAGTCTCAGCTTGTGTTCCAAACAAGATTTGTTTCTAGCCTTTGGGATATAAGGAGAAAATATTGGTCCACTAGCATATCCCAAAGGTTTCAAAAACAAAAGGCAAATTTCTGGTGCTGTTAATCTGTTAGATTAAATTCAGACTTCAGTGGAAAAAAGTGACAAAACTTTGATAATTCCAGTGGGACCTGGACTTCACTCCCGATTTGTCTTTTTTTTTCTTTCTTTTTTTTTTTGAGTCAGTTTCAGTCAAGCCAGTCTCTGAATTTGGAGCTCCTGAGTCGTAATTTTTAAATGCTTAGGGTTGGCAATAACATAAATGCACGGGGATTAGACTACTGTAATAAGAACCTTCAGAGGTTAAAGAAAACATTTCATTTCCAGTAAGTGGCTTGGTAAACACATACCATTAATCTGTTCCAAAAAGCTATTAGTCTTGTAGCAGCAGGGCGTCCTTTCTAATAAATGTTATCTTTTTCCTTTCATGACTGCACAGATTATCCTTCACTCTATGCATAAATATCAGCCTCGTGTCCACGTCATCCGAAAAGACTGTGGTGATGATCTGTCCCCTGTCAAGCCTATCCCTTCAGGAGAAGGGGTGAAAGCCTTCTCCTTTCCAGAGACAGTTTTCACTACTGTCACAGCATACCAAAATCAACAGGTAATTTGGGCTATTTGCTTAGCACTCTACAGGCTTTTCAGAGCAGACCAGGGACATAAGAGATAGGAGAAAAGCAGATACTTTTATTATACCACTTATTAAAATAAAGTTGTCTAAACATTTTTTGTGCTGCAAGCAGCTTTCACTGGTAGCATTGCAGCAGCGCCTGGAGGCTATAGCTGAGGCTTGAGGCCACATGGGCTAGATGCTGTATGTAAAAAATCATTGTAATTATGGAGATCACAAGGTCTAATTATCATGTCTAATGGTGTCTTAATTATAAATACAGCATTGAAGAACAAGGCAAAGAGCAATGTAATTTTTAAAAGGGTTTCTGTACCTTTAAGTGTAGATATATGTCTGGATAGAACTTTTAAAGCACTTTTATTCCTGACTCCAGTGCTTTCAAAACTCCCAGGTCCTTTTCAGAGGTCTAAAGAAAGTTGCAGTCGTTTTCATTAACCGTATTCAACTTATATTATTAATGGCAATTTATCTGCGTCCAAAGTAAACTGCAGGTTGCATCACTCCAATGTTTGGCTCTTATTACCACTTGTTTAAGTGTTAGCATACATAGTGACATCATAGTGTTGTGACATTTTATTAATTCCATGTAAGTTACTGCAGCTGTATTTTTTGAAATTATATATGCATTGATATCTTTACAAACAGAAGAGTAGGAGAACTATGTAATTACTGAAATATAATTATTTGGTGCCTTTCTGATTTTTTTCAAATAAATTAAAAGTATTTGGAGTAGGGAGTGTTTTGCTGGGGTATTTTTGTTTGTTTGGGTGTGGGGTGGTGGTGGTGGTGTTGGTTTTGGGGTTTCTTTGTGGAGGATAGTAACCTAGAGATAATCTCTTTTTTCACATTTTCTTCTTGACCCATGCAGAAATAAAATTTAGTTTAAATTTTATTGCAGTTAGGCAGTGTACTCTCTTGAGTGAAGAATGACATTTGCCAGAAGATTTTGCTCAATAATTCCAGCCTGCCACTTGGCAGCATTAAATACCTGTTAGTTTCTCTGGGGATCTGCAAAAGTAGTGATCAGAAAATTGGACCTTATTTTGCTATGTTTCAGGACAACCATCTTAAACCATACAAATGTGAAGATGTTTCTACTGTCAGCTTAATTCTTTCAGAAGAGTCATTTTGTGTGCTATTCAGCTGAATTTGCAGGTAATAATTTCTCTAATCATATTCACAGATAACTCGTCTGAAGATTGATAGGAATCCATTCGCCAAAGGGTTTAGAGATTCGGGTCGTAACAGGTAGGTGTTGGGAAGGACGTGGGCTTGTTACTGCTCACAGAATTACTTTGTGAAGGCTGTTCAAGGTGAATATGTGTATCTACAGACAAACTAATTTGAGAACTCAGACTCCTGGAGGGAGCACTTAGATTTCCCAGCAATGTTCTCTGTGGTGAGCTCTCATTCCTCCTGCTCTGACCATCTAGGTCAAAAACAGGCTGGCACTCGGCTTGAGTCATGTACTCAAGTTTCTTTTCAGTGTAAGCAGTGACATACCATGAAGGCCGCAAATGGAGTTAATGCATACTCAGGTCCTTGATTTCAGGCTACTCTTGAAATCTTGTCTTTCTCCTGGCTGGAGACACAAATTGCAAATACCATTGTCAAACTATAAGCCCAGGTTCTCTTGCACGTAAGTGGCATTTAGTATGGATGAGTGGCTTGTTGTTTTCTCTTAAAAACTAAGTTGGTTTGTGCAGTAACCTTATGTTTAGTACACTTGCATAGGAGTGGGAGACCTGTGTTCAAGTGTCTATTTAGTCTAAGGAGTTTTAAATCCACTTCCTAGGTGAATGCCTTTCCTAGTAGGCTATAAAAGACTTTGAAATAAGGATGGTTTCTATTTCTTCTGTTGTGGATGGACTGATTAATTGATTGTTCTCTCTTGATCTGTGAATCTTTGAAAATAGCAATGGGAAATCTGAGTAGTGCAAAGTGCAGACTTGGGTCTAGTCTGGGCTGCCAGTGCTGATGAGGTATTTTATCCAAAGACTGTTTAATGCAAACTACTTAAGCCTGCTATGAATTGTATGTTAAACCGTTTCAGCTAAAAAAGGCAGTGTTTCATTATGGTGTATATTGTACATCAGTTCCAGTGACCACATTGCATTTGGTGTCTACAGCTGCTATATTTATGCCCTAGCCTTGCAGAGAAAGGAGTAGACTGTGTGCTGGCAGGAATGATCAGAGTTTCTTTTTGATAGTTACTTTTATTGAGCTTCTCTGTTAGCAGAGGCTACAGCATTAAAGCCTGTTTTTTGCTTCCACCTGAGTTACATAAAAATTGAGACTGGACAGCAAACGAGTAGTTTTTAGAAGATGAATACGTACAGAAGGAGTAGGGTAATTGTAAAGGTTTACAGGATTTCACTGTAAGTATCTTTTCAGTATCTCTGAGATTTTGTCTTCTATCGAGAAACAATTAGCCACATTTTGTTCTGGGGCCTGGAAGTGGTGCCCCAGGCACTGACATAAATAGAATTTTGCCCTCCTTTGTAGCTTTCTAGTTAGAAATTAAGTGAACAGTAACATCCAGATAAATGCACTGACTGAAGAAGCAAAACATGCTGTGTGTACTTGGGGAAGAAAAGTTGCAATACGTGCCTTGTTTGAAAGCTCTCCGTGAGCAGTCTCTCTGATATGCTTGCTTTTTGCAGAACTATAAAGTAAGTACTAAGGAACCTCCTAAGAAGTGTGAAATACTGATCCTCTGAATTAGATGAGTTTAAATGGATTTAGAATTTCTTCCATAATGTTATATGAAACAAGAGAAGATTCCCTTTAAAATAGAATGGAAATAATTGTTCAGAAACCAGTTTTGAACGGGTTTTAATGAGGCAGGACTGCTCTGGTATTACCTGAGGACAATGTAAGTGCTGTAAGAGTTCGGAATCTGCAACCACACAGATCCAGTTGTAGGACTGGGGATATTCAGAGAGGTTTTTTAGGTTTGACTACTAGGAATAGTATGGTTCAGGCATTAAAAAAAACCCAGGATATTTTAATTGAAAGACAGTTATATTTTATGGAAAGGGATTAAGAAGGCCAGTCCTGACGGAAGGGCAAGCCTCTGTAAAATGTTTTGGAGCAGCCCTTAGATGAGGTCTGAATGCTTTTATTGTACAAACACAGTCGTTACAGAAGTGACTGCAAACTCTTGTCCATTGCAAATTGACGTTGGTTTACTGAAGTCACTATTGCTGTTTTCTTTGATAGTATCTGTGGTACCGAATAGAAGTGTTTGAGAATGCAGCTCAGATTTTCAATTGTCAAGGAAAATGTCTATTGGTTTACTCAACTAATTATTAATAAATATTGAAATTAAATGTTAAGGTTTTGCTATCTTCATTGTTGTAGCTGGTGTGTTTATCATTAGGGTATTTCAGACAGCAACAAAAGTTTAAAAAATACTGTGGTAAAATTATATCCGGCTTTTCAATATTGCTTTAATTATTGCAGCTATTTTACTCTGCACTGCTGCATGCAATAATTAAATTGCATGTTTAATTAAAAATATTCCCTTTCAGGTCATTCCCATTCAGTCTCACAGCCTATTTTACAGAAATCAGTAGCTTCACCTTTTAAAAGCATTCCCCGTGCATTTGCAAAGTGCAACAGAATTTATGTGCTGAGAATAGTTTCATTTTTCAGTTGGGCCTTAAGTTTGACCCTATAAAAACTTTTACTCAGGAAAGGACCAGAATTTCTCCCTTTAAATACTTCAGGAAAAACATAACTGTTTTGTTAAATAAACTTGGCCATTTGATAGCTCAAATTAGGGTGGTGATAAAAAGTGGAAATTGTTCAAAGGCATCTTGTATAAATTATCGCCTTGGCTACACTCCTCCAGGAGGTGGCTTTTATCTCCACTTTAACTAGAATTGAAAATTCACCGTTACTGCAGAAAATTAAGGCTATCTTTTTAGTCCAGGTTCAGCTAATAAATACTTTATAAATGTTTCCTGACACACATTTGTGTTCCTGCTGGAAATGCAGTGGGGAAGGAGCATTATCAGAACCTGTTGGTTGCTTCAAATTGGGCTATTTGCATAATTCGAGTTTACAGAGTGCTACTGCTCAAAGGCAAGCACTTGTATTTGGTGTGTGCCTGATGCTGACATTTAACAGGCCTCTGGGGCCCAGCAGCCAAAAATAACAGCAAAATTATACCTCTGAGTATTTATACTTCTGAGGTGCATTATTCATAAATAATTGTCAGAAAACAAATGGACCTTTACCTTCAGGAAACAGAAATTCTTATAAATAGTGTCTGCCAGCACTATCTACCCAGTTATTTCAGTTTTCTCATTACACTGTTGAAAGAAAATCGCTGAAGATTTTTGGTTTGTAAGGGCATTTTGCTCAGCACATAATAACTGAGACACAACATTGCTTTATACATTTTAGTGGCAAAAGAGCTGTATACCCATGCCTTGCTCATGTTCTAAGTGTAATTTTCTAGCTCATCAGTAATGAATGGGATCCTATTTTAATAGAAGTTGTCAGTGGATCACCTTTGTTCTAGGCAGAAATAGAACATCCCTCTGGCAGTTAGAGGCGGAGGAATGATCTCTTAAGGAAATATCATACTAGGAAAACATTTAACGTAACTTTAGCCAAGGCTCCCCACTCAAATAGCCCTCTCAGGAGGCCCAAAATATTGAAATAGAGAGCGAGATTTATGGAATTGGAAAACTCTGTCTGCTGCAAGCCCAGTGGTAGCGGATCTCAGTGATCTCATGGATAGGATGTAAGGCTGTTTTCTACGAAGCAAAATCAACTTCAAAATTATCCTGAAATGTTACTAGTTTTTATGTATTTCTGAGGTAGAGTATCCAGAGATGTGTGACAAAATACAGCTTGCTTTCATGTCACCTTGGTTCTTTTGTTGTAAATAGAATGGGACTGGAAGCTCTGGTAGAGTCCTATGCCTTCTGGAGACCTTCACTGAGGACGCTTACATTTGAAGATATACCTGGGATACCCAAACAAGGTAATGGCTGTCTTTGTGTTCTTTCAAAAGAAAAATGCATGAAGATAAAGCTTTGCCCATCATACTTTACAAAAGTCTGTGTCGCTTGTAGAGAAAAAACAACCAACTAACCCCAGTGCAGGCCATCACCTCTCATCAGAGTTATTCTAAGCTGAGAAGGTAATGCTAATTCAGTCACCGTGGCAATGAAAATATTAGATTGTAAAGATAAATCAGATCACATGTGGAGGAGAATTCCAGTTTAAGGGTTTAAATTATTCAGTTTAAGGATTGAATAACCTATTCCTTAGAGCTATGCACTGGCTACATACAAAAGGTAGAGATCATTTATAGATGACATCTATTGTACACATCCAAACTCCAATGCAGGAATTTCTTGTGTTTTTAAGAGAAAAAAAAAGGGAATGAGAGAATAAATGTCCTCTTAAGTAATGAGTGGCAAGTTGACTGGGTTTCTTCTTGGAATGCCTTCTTGATTCTTAAAGACCTAAAAATTTTTCAGTAAATGTGCCAACAAACTTTATCGGCATTCTAGAGCTTGAAAAAATGGATCTCTGTTTTGTTTTTTCTTGCTCTTCAGTCTTGATTGGACTTTCCCCATCATACAGGTAGTGCCATGAATGAGATAAATAGCCTTTAAATGACCTTTTTGGACAGAGAGTGGAAGCTTTGTAATCTTTTCTGAATTCTTTTATTTCCAGAGAACCCCAGTGCAAATATTAAACTTCTCATCTTTTTCCCAATGAAATCAGACATATTGCTCCTGATTCTTTGCATTTCCCACTACCAAATTTACAAGCATCCAGTCTGCTTTCTTGATAATGTATTGCAAAGTTGTTAAACATCTTAAGAGCAAAAATCCAGAAAATACAGAAATTCAGAGAAATAACTTTTGTCAGCTTCTTAGCTCATTCCTTTGAGAAATCCTGAGCATCAGTGCTTGATGTGGGCTCAAAAGGAGGTTTTGTGCCAAGTCACAGATACATTGGCTGAGTGTTGGCAGTTTTGAGTGGAGCACAGGGGTGAGGGACACTCTCATAAAAAAGGCCTGTAATGAGAAGTTAGCACCAAACCTGAAATGCCTTGTCAGACTGTAAGACTGAGAGGCAGCTCACTATGCAGTTAATCCATTTAGGAGACAGACCAGCTTTATTGCCCTGTTTGTATGTAGGAGCATTGTTTGAGAGCAGGGGAACTGCTGCCATGAACTTCTCGTTTCCTCTTCTGCTGTTGCGTGGGGTTAAGGAGCTTGTTGAAGTTACTGTTGATATTCTGAGGATACAAACTGGGATCCTTGCAAAGTCTTTAGTCATCTATACCTTAGACATTAGGGTGGTTTAGAGTCTTTCTGAAAGACCCCATTAGAAATTTGCCTGGCTTATTAATGCTGAAAGTGCCTGTCATCAAGTAGCGGAGGCATTGACGTAGATTGGAAGAAAAAATATGTCTTATACCAGGATTTATGGAATATGGCAGTGTGTAATGATGCTTTGATCTTGTGGTGTCCTGTTAACAGAGCAAGAAGCAGCAGGCATTGTTCACTAATATTGTATGTTTCTTTTTACTAGCTCACCTATCATGATAACCTGTTAACTTATTGATAGCATGTATCTCTTTGCAGCATCCAGCTGTTTGATTGTTAATATGATTCACAAACGGGAGAGTCTTCCATGTTAAGTCTTCTGCCTGGGAGACTATGAAAGGCCCAAATTAATTTTTCTACAGTCAGTTTTCACGGAGATACAATGTCTTTAAGAAAGGAAGTGTTTCTTGCAGCTGGGAAACTTTCAGTCCTGAGAAAAGGTTTCACCTGTAGCAGTGTGTTTTCAGGAGCATTCAGCACTGGTATTTGTAATTTAAAAAGTTCTTACATCAGTAAATAGACAATTTGCAAACAGTTTGCTGCAATCCTACCTGTTCAAGAAGTGAAGCAGCTGTGTGCAGTATTCAACCTACACTCTTTCTGAAGTTGTTCTGAAGTTTCATTCTCATGTTTTTTTGGTTTGAAGTTGGAATTTTCTTGTTCTGAAGTTAGTAACTTTCCTGAAGCTGTTAACTATGGGAGCCTCTATCATCTGAACTAAGCAGCTGGTTCCTCAGCTGGTGCTCTGATAATGACAGTCAGGCGCAGAGTGCTTGAAACACACTCCAGACTGTATTGAGAACACAGACACATCAAAAATCATCATTTTGAAGAAGTTTCCTGTGATGTGGTACTCACTTGGCTACATCTTAACTGCCATGCAATTTCCTTCCAGTGTCGTATAAGGAGCAGTTAATCTTTTGGGCAGGAGCTCTAAATATTGAGTGACGGTTGTAAAAATGTAACTTCAGTTCTCTTTCTTGGTCAAGTTGTTTGTTTAGAAATATGCATGTGGTTTACTCACACACCCTCCTGCACATATATGTAAAAGATTTTTTTAATTAGTTTGAGTTGTGTTTCATGTCAAGGGTTATTATAAAAGCCAAAGGTCTTGATCTGTCACCTAGGAAGTGAACTTCCCCAACGCGCTTCTTACGCTGTAACATTCTCTTCCAGGAAATGCAGGTTCCTCTACTTTACTCCAGGGATCTGGCAGTGGAGTGCCATCTACCCACCCTCACCTTTTACCGGGTTCCCCTTGCTCATCTCCAGCCTTCCACCTCAATCCCAACACTAGCCAGCTGTGTACCCTTGCTCCAGCTGACTACTCAGCTTGTACCCGCTCAGGCTTGACCCTGAACAGATACAGCACTTCCTTGGCTGAAACCTACAACAGGCTCACAAACCAAACCAGTGAGACGTTTGCACCCCCGAGGACTCCCTCCTATGTCGGTGTGTCAAGTAGCACAACTGTGAATATGTCTATGAGTGGCAATGATGGGGATGCATTCAGCTGCCCACAGACTGGCTTATCTATGCAGATTTCAGGGATGTCTCCACAACTCCAGTACATCATGCCATCCCCATCCAGCAATGCCTTTACCACTAATCAAACCCACCAAGGCTCCTACAACACATTTAGACTGCACAGTCCCTGTGCACTCTATGGATATAACTTTTCCACATCTCCTAAACTGGCTGCCAGTCCTGAGAAAATCGTTTCTTCCCAAGGAAGTTTCTTGGGGTCCTCGCCAAGTGGAACCATGACGGATCGGCAGATGTTGCCCCCCGTGGAAGGAGTGCACTTACTTAGCAGTGGGGGGCAGCAAAATTTCTTTGACTCTAGGACCCTAGGAAGCTTGACACTCTCCTCTTCTCAAGTGTCTGCACATATGGTTTGATGAAGCCTTTAAGTAAAAGTACAGTATGTTTGGTGTCTACAATGTATTTCTTTTGTAATATGAAGGGACACTCGATGTAGCTTGTAAAGTGTGTGTATATATATATAATATGAGAGGAAGTTTTACTGAAATTTTGACTTGCTTGTGGCCAGATTATTTTCCTATTTTGAGTTACACAGAATTTGCTGTGTTGCAGACTGCTTTAGTTTTCTGGTATAATACACTTAGTTGTATAACACATTGGGACATATGCAACAAATTAAGCAAGACTTCCTCCCCTTTTCCCCTCCTCTGTTCCAGCGCCTTTAAAGAACCAAATGACACTTGGAGTATTAAACAACACAAACAAGCCCACTTGCCCATTTCCTATAGCACTAGTGAGTTTCTTTAAAACATTCATACAATGATAAGCTGATGCACCAAAGGCATTTTACAAGTTTCTTCTCTGTTATAAGGGATACAAAGGATATTTGGACTTGTAAGTGTTAAGCATGAAGCATCTAGCCTAAAATAGAAGTTTAGCTAATGAATTATTTACAAAGTAAATTGAAAGATTAGTTTGCCTTCTCATGATACATTGTTTTTAGCTTATCAACAGCACAGCATTCTCACTAGGATTTTTTTTTCAGCATTAGTCTAGATTTGTGGTTAGATGTTTGAAGACTAATAATGCGTATTCAAATTGTGGTGATAGAAATAATTTAAACCAACAGCACTAGAAGCAGCATTCCTTAGTACGGAATGAAGTTCAGGGTGCTTAGTTTTTGTCAAAGGAAGGGCTTGATGCATTTTTTCCTCCATAAATATTGCCTATTTACTGGACAGTAGGATATTCTAAAGTATCTTTGTTTCTGTATTTTTACTTTTTTTAAGGGAAAATGCAGGTTTGATTTAGAAAAAAAAAGTGAGCAGAATGAAAAATTCTGTTATTGGTTTTACCTGTTTTGTTTGTGTGTTTGTTGTGTTTTGGGCTTGGTTTGGGGTTTTTTTGTTTGTTTTTTTTTTGTTTGGTTGGTTTTTTGTTTTTGTTTTGTTTGGTTGGTTTTTTTTGTTTGTTTTGTTTTTTTTTAGTAAGGGCAAAAATTTCTCAGTATCTCAAAAAACATCACCTGTATCAGTTAGGCAGATGACCCAATTTGCCCACAAGTGTTTCTGGAAGCAGAACATTGTCATAGCTGACTTCCTGTTGCTTTATTTCTGTCAGCGTTTGTCCTGGAATTGGAGAGGCTTCCTTCATTCCCACCTCTGTTTTTTAAATGGCGCTTGTAAGAACGTAGATCACAATCTACTCCTGACCATGCTTCTCCAGAGTGACAAGGACACAGGGAAACACTTGTCATAGTGAAATTTCTGCCCTCATCTGCACCTGCACAGCACAGGTGTGTATCAGTCCTTCTGCAAAAGCTGCCTCTCAGCTGCCCATCTGTCAGAGCTTAACCACAGAGGTTGTAGAACTAATTTTAATGCTTGAGAGGACAGGTCATCTTCAACGGTATGCTAAGCCTCATTTATATTGTGCAGGTTATATAAAGGCATTATAAGGTGGGTACAAATATAGATGAAAATGTTTCCCCAGTAAGCATTGAAGGAGACTAAGGCCTTTCAAGTTTTACGCTAGATTTTTTTTGCGAAAGTGAATTTTTGTGTTTCTCAAGTGTTCCTATGTCTTTTCTGGCAAATAGTGCACTTAACCACTTAACCACTCCCACTTCAAGGACTCATTTCAGTTTGTATTTCTTTAGTGGGATGGAGATAATGCATGCAGAAACAGCCCTCTTGCTATCTCCTCTTATTATGCGGGAATAGAAGAGAAACCACAGCTATCTTGAAGCAGAAGGCTTTATTTTTATTGCTTGCATATTTGTTTCTGTTAAAGAAGATACATATAAAGTTCTCATTCAAAGTTAGAAAGGCAAGAGGATGCATTTGAGGAGATGTGGGTTTGCTGCTTTGCTGTTTCAAACTTCCTAAGTGACCTTGAGCAGTTTGCTCAGTCTCTCTATATCAGATTTTTTTTCTTCTGTAAAATGTGATAATAGCACTTCATGCCTCATAGAAAAGGGTGACAGTATATTGAAGATGAAGATCATCTTTACATCTTCTGTGCTGTGGACAGTACGTTACAGATGAATGGCTAGGAATTGTTCATGTACAAGGATAAGAAAGAGCATTTGTGTACTTCAGGTCTGATACTGGTTTTGGCATTGCAGTGTCCTAGGCAGATCTTAAAGAAAAGACCTGCAATGCTGAAAATGCTATTCAAACTCACACTAAAGATTCATGAAATGGTTCTAAGATGTGTAGAAGATGGGCAAGTTTTCAGTTATGTAAATTGTCATAGCTTTATTGGTTTAAATTAACAAGTAACTTGTGTATAGTAATTCTTGCTCCAACCAAAACTTTGAAATTTTGTAGTTGGACAAATCTTTAAATGTCAAAGGTGGTACAATTAATCTGTACTTGAAAAAGGGTAATTACCCATGTTATCTTAAGGGCTGTGACTAGGTAGAAATGTGGAAGAGCTAAATCATGCATGTTCTTACGAGGAGAAAAAAAAGGTTGTGCATGGATGTTCATGGAGGTGCTCCTGACATGACTTTATCATCTGGGAATTTTTTAGAACTGGTCTCTTACTTTTCCTCAAATTATTCTTATCATATAACCACACAATATTGTTTCATTTGTTCCTTAAAATTTGAATCATATTGTAAATACTGGTGTGTCATTGTGAAAAGGCTAGCTTTTTATCAATACAGTAAATGCTATATATGCATTATATCTATAATTATATATCTGTATTTTACAAAAATGCCACAGAAAATATATTAAAGTGTGTATTCAAACACTTTTTACTACATTTGGAAAACTGAGAGGGTTGGGCCTTTTTTTTCTGTACAACTTCTGCAAGAACAAAGGAAGTGACTCTGAGGTAAGCTCTGGGTTTCAGAGACTTAATACAACAAGCTGCAGCTAGTCCACAATTCTTACATGGTTCAGTTTAACCATCTGCTGTTGAATCTCTCTATTATTTGTACGCAAAGATCCCAACAGATGTTGTGTACAAGGAGATACTGAGGCTGATAGCAGAGCTCTGAGGGTTTTACATGGGAAAACGGAACTGAGCTGCTTGCCAGGCTCTTTAGCCAGTGATGGAGCTTGGTTGTTTCCTTGTAGCCCATGGCATCCCATCTACTAAGACCAATTCAGCTGCTCCCTATCAACTGGATCTGGGAAGTTAGCACTTCCCTGTGACTTGAGCAGGACCTTGGTACTCTGCCTGTTTTCTCTCTCTGCTGTTTCTTTGGTCATTTGCTCTCTGTTCTGCTAGTTCTAAATGCAAAAATCTATTGATTTGACAATTTGCAACCTATAATCATCTGACTATGCTGTTACTCATCAATGAGCAACATTTCTCCGTCAAGAAATACTGTTATGCATAGTGGCCTTATTTCCTATTGTACTGCAATAAATGATTCTCTGTGACATAGGGCAGAGGGTCTGAAAATCTAATTACTTCAGAGACTCTGGTTTCATAGTCACTTAACATCAGCATTGTTGCAAATGACCAGAATTAGGGCAAGAGAAGTAGGCATTAAATGCTTGATCATAAATATCAGGCCTCCAGAGAGAACGAAAGCTTCTGTTTTTAATAAGAGAAGAGCCTTTTTTTTATTATTTTTGAATAGCACAATCAGATTCTGAGAGGGCTCATTTCTGCTGCAGCAATGGACATCAGGAGAAAGCTGAAAATCATGGATATTGTTGTCTTTAATAGTAGTAAACCTGTACTGTGAGCACTTCAACAAAAGAAATATAGGTAATCATCAGAAGTAGCTCACGGATTCTATGGATATATTTTACCTGTAAAGATAATATACCTAGTCAATCTGTACATAGGTATGTTTAAAAAGTTTGCAGTTTATCTAATTACCTGAGTTAATGGTTTTTATTAGCTGACTTTGCACTTCAGCTGACAAAGTATATTAACTTGTCAGTTGAGCTCTTCATTAATGTGAACCTCAGATTCAATATTTCACCTTGTACTTAACACAAAGTTGTTGATATGTCAATTTAATATATGCAAAAATACAGGAAAGTTCTTGTTCTGCCTTATGTTCCACCATATTCCTCAACACTCAGTTCCTCAATTCAAAACACTGGCATGCCAAGATGACACACACTTTTAAGAGGTGATGACTTGCTGCATTAGGAAATAACATTTCTAGAGAATTAAACTTTGCTTTTAGTCATTGTTTTTAGTCAGCTTTGAAAAGGTGTTTGTTACCCAAAAAAGCGTAAGTCCTATGCAGTCACCACTTATTCTTGCAAAGTAATGTTGAATTGGCCATAAAACTATCTCAGATAGTTTGATGCCCAATGCCCAGACAGAGCAGTTCCAGCAAATTTTAGAATTTGAAGTCCATAAAGTAAATGTTTTTAAGAAGCCTCAGTAAATCAGATCAGCACTGCTATCAGGAAGAATAAAAATACTGTGGGCAAATAGAAACACTTTCCTGAATTTTATCTGTCACCTTCAGAGGTTTATTACCCTTAAATAGTTAATATCCAACATGTTCCACTCCACCAGAATGAGCATTAAACCTCCATGAGCTGGATAAATTTCCACATTTTTCCATTGTGGCCTTTCTGAATGTTGGCAGTAACAACTAGGTTTCAAGACAAGCATCGGTGCACCAGGTTTGCAGCAGGGAATGGCAGGAGAAGTGCAGATAGCCCAAATAGACCCTGCAGTCCCACCATACACTTTTGGAATGTCACAGGTGCTGTGATGGCACCCACAATGTATAGTTCTATCCAAACATAATTCAGTGCACCTCTCACAAGGGTAATTACCCATGTTTGGGGACTGTAGCCTAAAATAAGACCTAATGTCAAAGACTGGTCAGAAAGGATAAAGCATGATGTGAAAATGCTTGTGCTACCCAAAAGCTGGTCTATGGCAATGAATGTTAAGTGTAGGCCCAGCACAGACTTGGCCTTTGTCAGTACTGCAGCCACTTTGACTATGCTGCACCCTTATGTTCATTTGCACACCACTGGATTTTATTTGGATGCTATAATATAGAGCCAAGAATAAATTTAGACCACATTGAAGGAAACCTGGACTCAACTGTGGCCAGTGGTAATGGTGCCCCCGACTTGAGCTTTATGGATACCACATTTTCAGACTCTAAGCCATCCCTCTTTCTATTCCAGAGTGCTTTACCTGTGCAGCAATTGTAGTCATAACTCTCTTGGGCATTTTTCTGTCCCTTTGTGGTGCTTTTCAGATGGATGACTGGCTTCTTGCATTTCACATGCTCATAGTTTGTTTTTAACTTTGTGCTTCTGCAGTTTTTGAGCCATAGTCTGTCTCACAATAAGAGACAAGACAAGGGTGGAATTTGGTGCTCCATCCCCCGTATATTCCTTTCCACTGCAGATAATTGACTATATATTTCCCACAATGTTTTTATTGTATTTTACAGAGAAAAGTAATAAAAATAGAGGCTGTATCACAATCAAAGCAGTGTTTCCATTCCTCAGGCAATATTTTTCACTAACCCAAAGGAAAACACCTCCCCACCCTTTCCTGGTTACTGTACTCAGTATATGGTTCTCAGTAAGAAGAAAACCAGATGCCATATTTAAATGTAAGATGGCAGAAACCAGAAAACCAGAAAAATGGATCCCAATTCAGGGAAATGTTCCTGGATAGTCTTTGTGTTCTTTGAAGTGCAATAGGGGCACTAATGCTTCCAGAGACATCTGCAAAGACCCTTTGATATGTCATTGCTGTTGGTGTATGATGAATGCCTTGCTGACACAGTGTGCACTACAGATTACCTGCCCCATACTCAGGCAGGACGTTGTCAGTGTCACACAAAGACGTGCAAGCGAATGCCATTTA